TTGCTACCGCGACCTCGCCCACAGGAAGCCGCGACCGCGTGGCAGCAGGGAAAATGGCCGCAGATCCGGTTCGTAAGGCGAGGCGACTTTGTAACTCGAGGTAAATTTTTCCTGCCGAAGCTGGTCATAACCCGAAATGTTCGTTAGTAGAGGCGTTCATATCCCGAGGTACCACTGTATATATTTTGGACATACACTACATAATACTTCAGTTAGTCTGGCTTCCCTTTCTAGTTCAGATACTTTAAACTTGCTAAAATATGTAGTATAAATAAGAATAAAATTATTGCCATTATAGTGCTCAGAGCTTCAAAAACTGCTGCTTGATCTTTGAAAAGCACTGGCCTGCTATGAACAAGGATCAGTCTATATAAGTTGGAATCACTGTCACTGAGTTTGACCACTTTTAACTGGAAAATTTTGCTCTGTCTGTTTTATTATATCATATTCTAAAAAGTTTACCTAGCAGTTAACAAATAAGCGATGATTAACAAAACCACTTCATGAATCTTTTTCCTTTGATCAGGATAAGCAGAATGTTATGTGGCCTAAAAGATCAGATTGTATAAAATCCTATCCAGCTATCCCTTCCCCAGAGGAATTGCCAACCTATATCCTACACCCAGAAAACAGGGGACAAAGGTAAGAATTTTTATGCTGCTTTTCTGTTGTACCCAAAGCAGTTTATATTCCATAGTTTAAAACATCATAATGTAATTATAAAAATATAAAAACCCTAAATTACTATAAACCACATTGTTTTAAGCAGCACAAAATAAAGTTATGAAATTATGCATCTTCATCAATTATGAAACTGCTGTCTTAATAATAAATTACACTGATTTTATGATCTTTTGCAATTTGCCATTAATAGTGCAGCTACATGGGCGATGTCAAACTGCTCTCTTGACTATTTGCAATTAATAGTTCTACTTCTACTAGTTTCCCCCACATGGATTTAGCTATGCTGTGTGGGATTATTACTCTGCTGTCTGAATCATGTGGTTATTCTAATATGTTTTGATTGTTAGAATCCGTTCGATACTTGACAATCCAGGGGAAGACCTCACACAGACAGAAGTTCATGAGCCAGATTGTTCTTCCATTACTGACACCCCTAACAGTGACTCTGTGTACTTCTTGATCAAAGAACTAAACAGGCATCTAGATCTGACGGAAAAGATGCCAGATGATTATGCAAAGCAAGTAAGTTTATTGATTAATTTGTTAACATGCACATTGTTTTTACAAATGGATACTTCCAAACTTGACATATTCTTAAAAGCAAGAAAATCTCCCCACATAATCAAATTTAGAAATAAATGAACTATTAAGGAAAGGAAACTACTGTAAGATTTGTGTTTTATGTGATATCAAAGAATAATCTGCATTGTAGTTTTCTAAGATGATTTTGTAGGTTTGGCAGTTTTCAATAATTGTATGATATATGTAAAAAGATGGTAATAAACTGAACCAGTAGTAGTTTACACTTTGTACTAACATAAAGTGTGATGTTTTAAACTTTGCTGATGGTTAAGAGATTGAGCTGTGAACGATGAAGCCCTTGATTTGAAATGCCTTTACTCCGCCTTAATGCTGTGCTACCATCACTCACCAATCAGTGATGGTAGTGTCCTAATATTGACATACTTTGCATTATATAATAATTATTATTTTACCTTCTTCCTCTCTGTTCACAATGAGAAATAGATGTTGCTAGCGTTTTTTGAGGGGGAAGGCATGGAACAGATGTTGCAATGGGCATAAGAGAATAGGGCATATATATTGTGCAATATTAGATTTGTACCCACTTTAATTGATATTTTTAATTTTTATTTATTTATTTATTGCCTCAATTTATGTGGCTGCCCATCTTAAATTCATGACTCTGAGCAGCTAATAGTAATTAAAACAGCCTAAAAAACATAAAACATTTAAGACAGCTACGTGTAATCTGTAAAGATTTTTAATCAGTGATAGTCCTGTAATTTAAACAGAATCTCAGCTTTTCTTCACTAAAAGCTTACTTTTTATATTTTCTGATGTTTAGTTTTAAACAATTTTCCATGCAGATCTTATATTCTCGTGTCAACAATCAGTCATTTACACAACAGCAAATAGGATCATTCATCCATCATGCGATTTTAAAGGTGAGTTCCATTATTTATAAGAAAGCCTCATAGTTTTTCTATATTAATTGTGTGATTTACTGATATATAAAGTTGTTTGTAAAAGCAATACAGAATGTTGATCACTGACTTGCTGACAGTTGCAAGAATATTTATGCAAAACAGTGTTATACTAGTGTGACATTCTGAATTTTAAGCCAGCAGCAGTGCACTTCTGTTTAATACACTTTGAACTTAAACCTCAAAATGAAGTGTCGAGATTTTAGTTGTTCTGGCTTTCTTTTCCAATTTCAAATATTTTATACATGTCCTGATACATAGTATAAATAAGAGTACTGTTATTATTATTTGCCTGCAGGATCAGGCCAGGGCCCATCTTCATTCAGCATGTTGTTTCTCACAGTGGCTAACTAAATGCATCTGGGGTGCTCACAAACAAGATATGGTTAGTTGATGATTGATTGCTCTCGTGCAATCAGTATTTGGAGGTATACTCTCCTTTGAGTGTTTAAGACTAATTGCCTTTGATAGACTTGTCCTTCCTCTGTGAAATTATCCAGTCACCCTTTAAAAGCATCCAGGTTCGTGGCCATCACCACATATTACAGTAATAAATTCCACAGTTTAATTATATGATCTGTAAAAAAGTACCTTCTTTTTGTCTGTTCTAAATCTCTTTACGATCAACGTCATTGGATGACTTCTGATTCCAGTGTTTTAAAATAGGAGAAAATCCTATGCCTTTAACATTTCTCCATTTTGTGCATTGTTTTTATACACTTAATCATGCCCTGTTATCTTTTTTCTAAGGTGGAGTCCCATATATCCTAGCCTTTTCTCATAAAGAAGGTCTTTGAACCCCCTATCATTTTCTTTGCCGCCTTCTGTGCTTTTCCAGCTCTGTTTTTCAGATGGAAGGACCGTAATGTAGACAGTACTCCAGATGCTGATGTACAATAGATTTATGTAAGGGAATGTTATTAGTTTTATTTTAATCTGTTTCCTAATTATCCCCAGCATGGGATTTACAGCCACTGCACACTGAATTGCTGTCTTCATTGATGTATTTATTACATTTTTCCTGGTTAGGTACAGACAGCTCAAATCCCATCTGTATGTATGTGAAATTAAGGGACCTTGTCCATCAGAGCAAATTTTGCTCTAATACACATACGTTTACATTTATTTATACTGAACTTTATTTGCCGTTTGATTAATTATTCATCAAATTTAAAGAGAGGTTTCTGGAGCTCTTCACAATCACCTCAGGTTTTCACACTCTGAATACCCTGCTGTCCTTTCCAAACTTGTTTAGCATTGGTAATTCCTATTGTAAATTAATGTAATTTATGAACAAGTTAAAAAGCATAATCCAAACATAGATCCTAGAGAGCACTGCTCCTTATTTCCACTTTTAACCAGTTAGTAATTCATAAAATAACAAGTCCTTTTATCCCACGACTGCCAAGTTTGCTGAAAAGCCTTTGATGAAGAATTTTGTCAGATGTGTTTTGAAAATGCAGCTGTATTATGTCAGCAGGGTCACCTCCATCCACATGCCTGGTGACACATTCAAAAACTTCTTGAAGTTTGGTGAGGCTTTACAAAGACCTGTAAAAAATAGCATACAAAGATATGCAGTGGGATTAAGCAATCATGTGATTGCCATTTGCAGTCTTCTCTGGCAGCTTCCCTTGGGGAGGTTGCGTGGGTGGCCAGTGCAGCACAAGCATGGCAGGGGTGGCTGTTGCCAGGCATGGAAGGCTGCACAATGGGACTCGGGGTGGCTGCTGCTGGGCATGGGAGGGTGTGTAAAGGTGCGTGTGTGGCCAGCACGAGCTCGACAAGGATGGGGGTGGCTGCTGCCAGGTGGGGAGACTTACTGGAGTGACTTGCAACATTCCCTGCCGGCTTCTCCATTGACTTTGCTTGTGGGAAGCCAGCAGGGAATGTCACAAATGGCGATCATAAGATTGTGGGACACTGCAGCCTTTGTAAGTACAATTAAGTTGCCAAGCACCAGATTGCAATCATATGGCTGTGGAGTGCTAGGACAGCCAGAACTTCAAGGATCAGTCATAAGTACCACTTGTTAAGCACCATCATAACTTCAAACAGTTGCTGAACAAGTGATCGTTAACTGAGGACTACCTGTACGAAAAAGAAACTGCAGACAAAGAGACATGGTTAACATCAAGATTCGTTAATACAGAACATGGAGAACTTAAGATGAAGTCAAGAGAACAATTGACTGCAGTGGGATTTAGTTTTCAATTGTTTTCATATCCACAATTAAGAGAAATATTTAATATAGATAAAAAGGTAACTGGAATTGAACAACATAAGACGGAATTTGAAACTGAGCTATATACAAATGATGAACACATGATTGCAAAACTGTATAAACTTTTGTTGAGATTTGAAACAGAAGAACAAGTTAAAGATTGCATGATAAAATGGGCTAAGAGTTTTGGTTATAACATACAGATGGATCAGTGGGAGAGATTGTGGGTAAAAGGATTGAAATTCACATTGTTTTATAATTTAAGAAAGAATGTTTATAAAATGTTAGTATGTGACACCAGAAAGATTAACTAAGATGCATAAAGGTACTTCTAGTCAGTGTTGGAAATGTGAAAAACATGAAGGGTCATTTTACCATCATGGTGGACTTGTGAAAAGCAAAAAAAAAAAAAAAAAATTGGATACAAATAGATATGTTGATAGAAAGGATTTTAAAGATAAATATTGAGATGAAACCAGAACTTTTCTTATTGGGGCTAATGGATAATTATTGAGAAAAGACTTATGGAAGATTGATTTTACCGTATTTTTCTGTCAATAAGACGCCCCCATGTACAAGACAACTCCCACTTTTCCAACCCAAAATTAAGAAATCAATATTTTAAAGAAAGTGCAGAACACATTTTTATTTAGTAATTAGATAACATTTACCTGATACACTCGGTGGGAG